GCAGGAGATCCACCATATCTTGAGAACGGAGGTACCACTGTTTCAGGAGCCAAAACGGAATTGTCTTCTATGACACAGCAATCTCTCAGAATGCATCGTCTTCCCTATTAAAATCAGATCTTATCCTCTACTTTGACAACAAGTAGTTTGGTTGCTTTACTTACAATAACACAATTTTTGCCAATATGAACATAACTGCCAATTTGTGCAGCATTAATTAATGTTTTTTCTCCAATAAAAACATTATCACCAATACTGAGAGGGAAAAATGCTACCCTAAAACGATGTATACCGATAAGTGTTTAAACTACGTTTACTAAATGTAAGATACCGTACAATATTATATAAAATGAAATAGTATAAATTATGGGCTAACTTCGATATTGAGATAAATACGATCTCGACAACATAGCAAAAGGTAAACATCTGCTTTAATTTCGAATTCTCCTTTTAGATAATTGTAAAATATAACCGTTGCAGATGGATATATACAAGGAGGAGCCAAACGCGCTTGATGACRTCTGTCTCCCTTTTATTAAATAGAAAACTCCTGTATCTTTTATTGGGAATCCCCTATTTTCTACTTCGATGCATAATATAATTTCCGAAAAAACGYTATAAATATTTTARCTGATTTTAAACTACGTAGGGCGTACAAAGATATTGATTATACCAAATAAATCCACTTTTGAAAGGAAGTTGTCGAAACTAAAAATAGTGGCACAGTGTTCGGCGATCATCTCGTTTAGGCCCATCCGATTTTCTATTTTTTTCCAACTTATTTTATTTCTTCCACTCCCATGCATATGTTTATACGATGGTACGATGATCCGAAAGTGTTTCTATTGGTTGGAGATCTGTCAATTCGTCGGCCGTCGTACGAACTGACAGATCTCCAACTAATAGAAATACTTTCGTACCATCGTACTCTAGATATAAATGATGAACGGATGCATGGGACACAGGCTTAAGAGGCCATTCTTTGTTATCTTATGGAAAACTAGTGAATTTCAATGTGGGAAAAATGGACGGGAACCGCATTTCTAGAAGAAACCTTGAATATAAGCATATTGTTAACTTCAAACGCGAAGGCTTCTAGACTAGAAGAACCTTCCAAACTTCTCTCTTATCTTATAGTGCTAACTTGATATGCACCTACCCTTTACTAAATTTTTTGTAAGGTGGCCTTAAGACAGCTTCTTTACTTATTATACAATATCGGCCCGTTTTCACATTTGCGAGATCGCCCCGAATTATAGCATCTGCTTGAATAATCACTTTGCCTTGCAAGATGATGTTTTGAGAGCCACAAAGTACCGTCTGTCTGCAAACTTTGTTGCCGGAAGCCTACAATTTAGACATTACAAACAAATATATTATCGGCAGTAGCCCTCCAATAAACATACCGTTTCCACGTATTCATGCTTATTGTAATAAATATTTTCCAATTCCATTATTTACCTCTTTTTAATGTATAACTAAAAACTATTAAAATACAAATCCGACTACTATCCTTGAAGAGGTTAAATGATTTGACAGTACGAAACTACGAAATTTTGTAAACATCGCTAAAACAGCTGGCTGGCAGATCGATCATGACTTACATCTGTGAAGCAGCCTTACACAATTTACCCATGTTGTAGTAGGCAATCGGTTATACAATAATGTCTGTAAGTGCAGGCGCAGTAGTTCAAGATTAGTTATTACTTATTACTACTGAGCTCTTCAGTTACCTATGCATTACCATTACACTAATGTTACTAACAGATTTAATGAATATTTTTTAACAATAGTTGTGAACTAATACGATGAACATAATTGATCAGCCTTCAGCTTAGAAGTGCTTATTCTCAGTCATTCCTCAAACTCAAACACGTTAAGCCTTAAGCCGGTGTCCCATGCATCCCATAGATGCATCCGTTGATACGAAAGTGTTTTTATTGGTTGGAGATCTGTCAGTTCGTACGACGGAGGACGATTTGACAGATCTCCAACTAATAGAAACACTTTTGGAACATCGTACTATCGTAACAACTTAATAACAACAAAATCATTATATCTTTATTATAATAACAGTAACTTCGGCTAACAATAGTTTTGTAACCATTTAATTACTGTATTAATTAATAGTTACTACATAATATATGGCCGATTGCTGACTTTCAGATGCAGAAGGTTTAGTTAATTTCTCAGCATTAGCGAGTCTCTCCTTTTTGGTAGACAAATGTTTTCTCTGTGACACATGTTTATTGAGTGGGCTCCTTGATTTCACTTGCGATCTCTCTATTTGTGGTGAAGTTGTTAGAGATTTTACAGCAGCTACAGTTGGCCCTATTGGCGCGGCCTTTTTCTTTAAAATGTCAAGCTCAGCTAACGTATTGGTTTTTTCTAGAATCGTCAAAAAGCTGTTTTTCATTTTTTGTGACTGTTTTGTTTCAATTTGTTCTTGTGACTGTTTTTGTTGCGTTAAGGCTGTTCCTGTAATAGGATTCACATCCATCTGCAACTCATTATTCTGCACTAATTCCCCAGCTAAATCATCTAAAAATATATTTAAGTGGGTATATAATTAAAATTATATCTATTTCATTATGAAGTGGCATGAATAACCGAGATGCTCGAAATAACATGTACGTTATATACAGGGTGATTCAAAATTGACGTCATTCCTTTTAAGGGGTAATAGGGGGTCACTTGGAGAGTATGAGAAAATTATTGGAAACATTTTTTCGAAAATTTCTAGACGATATTAACAGTTGAAAATCGAATTTCAATTTTGTTATTAAGCATTACTTTGAAATTGTCCCATGTTTCATTGGTTATAATTGCAATACTTAAGCATTCGAAAAGAAAAATTACGATCTTTGCTTGAAATTACGAAAATTTTTGATATCAAGAAAAGTTCTCTTCTACAAATTTTTGATGAAATGCCAAAGCGGCAATGTTTTTCCCATTATCATATTTGATATATTTGATATTAAAAAAAGTTCTCTTCAGCTATTTTTTGACGAATTGAAGTCAAAGCGGCAATTATGGTTTTCTTGTCATCAACAGATAGTTATAGGTAGATAGCTTTTGTCAATAATAACAATAGTTCGTCAAACTGTGACTTACTTTGAGCTCCTTTCACAAATTTGCGGATATGCGATTAGCTTTGGGGAAATGCCACAGTAAAAGAGCAGAAGCTGTAGGAACTCACCCCAACAAAGGGCTAGAGACACTGGAGATGATCTCCAGGAAGATAGTAGACGATAATATATGTACGGGTTCCAGACACAGAGGAACAAGTATTGGACATGCTTGCAGCAGTGTCTGCAGGGGTAATAATATTATTCGCCTTAAAACTGGGAAAGGCTTGGAATAAAGGAAGTAAGATAACACTGTAATTATGCTGATCGGCTAAATCACGCAAACAGTGTAACCAAGTTTAAGCCGTTACGGCGGTTTACTAAAAAAGTTCAAACAGTACAGGAAATGACTTAGTAGTTACATTAATGCGGGTAATACGGGAAATGCCCTACACACTTTAGGAAATGACAAGTCTCTGATATACCTACCTATACTCATACCCTTATGTATTTTTTATAGTATGTATATGTAATTTTTAAAATAGTGAAAGATTCAATGCAATCTTACCGTTGTCATTAATGAGAAGAGACTGTTGCTTTGTAGTTTGCGCTCTGAACATACAAACTAAATGGATGTGTTTGCACATTATCCATTTTATTGCAGAATCCATACATGTGCAAGAGTACCTATGAATGCATGCATCACAATAGTTGCATCTTAATTGACAATTACAATCAGTATCAACTTCATTGATGAAATACACTTTAGATGAAGATGATTTAAATGTCCAATCTTCATCAGATGTAATAAGTAAACTAACATCCAAAGCAAGACTAGTTTTGTGTCTAGACTTTATATCCTTCAATTTACTAGTTATTTTTCCTTTATTTATTGTTATAAGTCTGTCAAAAAGCTTATCTTTGATAAATTTCATCAGGGCTGAAATAACTTTATCAAGTGTTCTTACAGTCTTCCCTTTCAAATATATGTTTTTAAAGACTTCATGCATGCATTCCAAGTGCATATTAGAATTTACAACCGTATAAAGTCTGTGACAAGAGGCCCACAACTCATAATTTTTCATATAATTCAGAAAATATTTTCCAAATTTTTCAGTATCACGTTCCGTGGAAATCTGTTGATAAAATCCATTTAGCATTCCCAAAAATGCCACCTGATCTTTTTCTTCTAGCAGACTTCTAAGTTTTTTGTAGATTAGGACCTAAAAATGGGTGGAAGTGGAAATAAATTTTATAAATCCTATAATGAAAAGAGTTTGTCATCATAAATTATTCTCGGAAAGCTGAAATATTAAGTCCGAAGTTAAACTTTCTAATAAAGTACCTATATTCTGCATGCGTAAGGTCACATGTTCAACTGATGAAGCTTAGATTCTAAACTGATCGATTATTTTCTAAACTTAGATTCTAAACTGATTATTATATACATAATGTATATAATATAGAAAGTAGAAATCAGTATCTGTTAAGTAAATTATCTGCTCAAAATTGATCTTTGACTTTCCTTGAAGTAATAAACTTACTCGAATGTTCTTATTGCGGATTTTGTTAAGATTTTCACGCCATGCTCGGTCCACATGCCACGTACAGTATAACCTGGAACATAATGACCATTTGCATTATTGTAGTAGCTTTTGTACTGAAGCAGCTTTAGTTCAAATTAAATAATAATATAAATACCTAAGTCTTGGTTTCTCCATAACTTCAAGCCATGCATTGTAAAATGCGTCAGACATATCACTCATAAAAATATTTGGACAAATTTTGCCAGTCCAGTTTTGTATATATGAAAAAAAGATGTGTAGGGCTTCTTTATCTGTCCTGTTGGTTATACAAAAAGCACAAGGAAAGCCCTGCCTCATGTTATCAAGTACCAGCAATGTTATTAATTCAAGATTACAGTTTTTCGCCCCATGCGTTGCATCTATGCAGATAACATCAGATCCATACTTTAACAAAATATCACTCTGTGGCTGATTCATAATTATTAACATAAAATCGTCAGATTTTAGTTGAGAATGCTCTGTGCTCACCATTCCTTGTGATTTATAAAATACATAGATATCATCCTTTTCTATAAACTCATGTATCCAAGCTTTTACACTTACACAATCATTAGAATTTCGAATGGAATCAGTTTGCAGCTTAAAAGAGTTCTCTATATTGTACAAATCTTTTCTTGTCAATAAATGACTTCTATTCAAACTTGAATTTGTGACTGAGTCACGTACTTCATTCAATATTTCTTCGAAAGGAATCTTCAAAGCTATCTTTTCTGCAATTTGTGCTCTCTCCACAGGACTTAAAAATACATGTCCTAATTCATTTATATGTCCTATGTGAGTTTCAATATATTTAACACTGCATTTTCCTTCATTATCAACGACTAATTTCATACTTGCTGGGCAAAAAGCATTTATTTTATTTGTTCCCTGAGTTTTTAAAATTCTAAGTCGTTTGGTGTTTTTCGGTACATAATTTCCAGATCTATTGCAGATGAATTTTGTAGTTATGCCCAGTGAAGATTTTTTGGAATAATTTTTAACAAAAGACGAAATTGTCTTTTTTTCAGTTTCAGATTTCCAACCATCAAATAGATCTTCTGAAGAAAATTGCAGCAATTGTTCTTGAATTACAATATTATGATTTCCTTCGAAATGCTTCATAAGATTGTTTATATAAAAGTCAGAATAAGGGCAAATCGGACATTTTTTAAGAACTCGCATTGGAGTTAGCACTGGATTAATCACATCACAACCGTGGGATTTTACATGGTAGATAAAATGGTGTTTATGATTAAAGTTTTTCCCGCAGGTACAATTATATTGAAAATTACCCTCTTCTTTATATTTCCTCGGTATAATGGACTGATCATTTGGATGTTTTGTTCTTATGTGTTTTCTAAGATTTCCTTCGGTGCTGTAAGTTTTTTCACATTTAGCACACTTCCGATCCATTTTAAAAATGCTTACTCTAAAAAGGAAATGCGTATGTTTGTTGAACTGTTTTAAACGATTAAATCATATTATATTTACACATCA